AATTAGTTCCTATTCACCTCATCCTCAGGACCTTCCCCCTCAAATACTTCTCTGGATCATGTCTTTTTGGAAGGAGGAGGAATTCTGGAATAAAATGTACAGAGAAACCCAGCCATTGTAATCACCCTCAAAGCAAAGCAGTTGACAGTCATTGATCTTGACAGTAGAGTCTCACCTGTTCTGCGGAAAGATATGGAAGCTGGAGGGGAACCCAGAGTAATCTGCAGGTGAGCACAGCCTCAGACCCTGATGCAGAGTGAAGACTGGGTACTCTCTCCCCTTTCACAGGGCATGGTTCTAGCCTGGTTAGTGGAACCACGTGACCCTCCCAGAGTCACCCAGGAACTCAATGCTTGACAACCCAAGTCCCTTCTGCTCGTGTTACATCCACTACTATTTATACTTCAACCCCAAACCACCTCTGTTACCTCTTTAGGTACAGTGGTGCCAAATCCCAAGATAGGAATGAGTGGCTGTCATTTAGCTTCACTCTCTGGCCTCTAGGATCCATTGCTTTTTTCTAATCTGAATAAGCAAACTTATGTTTCCTTCTGCCTTCATAGGTTATAAATAGCAGGAAGTTAACACCCCAGCTGACTGTCCAATGTTAGCAGATACATTGGAGGAGGAGAAGGATGAAACCAGTGCCCATAGAGTAAGAAGATAATTGAAGCCAGTTACATATTTTTTATCAGAAAAACTTAAGTTATATAAAGATGAAATGTGCCAAACAGCTATTGACCAAATGTTACACAGAAACCTCCACACACCAGTCATTTCACTTTTCTAATTATGAAGCCCATTTTTGATCAAACATCAATTGAATCAACTACTTCATAGTACAGAAAGACATATTAGTCACACAATTTAAAAGTGTTGATTATTAAGTATTTTCCAAAATGCAATCTCTTAATAGAGACTCAAAATGTGAAACAAACCAAATTTGCCTTTTAAATTTTCCAGCAGCAAAATTATTTTGCTTTACACGCCTATGGTGGTAGAGGTATAGTCAGTAAGTCATGTCCGACTCTCTTACAACCCCGTGGACTGTATCCCGTCAGGCTCCACAGTTCATGGAATTTCCTGGCTAGAATACTTGAGTCAGTTGCCATTTCCTACACCACAGTATCTTCCTGATCCAGGGATCAAACCCAAGTCTCTTGTGTCACTTACATTGGCAGGCAAATTCTTACTACTGGTCCACCTGAGAAGCCCTTACAGGCCTGACTAGGGTGAAATTCTGAAAAGGATACCAAAACCAGACATGTTGGCAAAGTGTTTATTGGCGTTAATCATTAGCAATTTGTGGATACCATGTGCAAGTTCAAACAGATGCTTCAGTGTTTATATCTTGTACTAAGCTACATAACTTTTTAGAGTACTCTTATAATGTAACTAATACATATTTTACACAGTTTGTTATAGTGCTAAATATTATTCATAAAATAAAAACCTATAAACAACTGAAATTGCAACAAATTGGGAAGAGTAAGGGAAATCATGATGCACTGGTACAAGGGGATGTTGTGAAGGAAAATTCATTTTAATACAAAGAGTGATGTCAGCAAAATTGTGAGCTAAGAGTGAAGTCTCCCTTAGAAAGGGAAGTAAGGAAAGAGAAAGCAGCTGAAAAATGTCATAGGAGTTCTGGGAAACAGTCAAAAAAACATCTACAGCAAGAAAGTGAACTCACAACTAGGAAAGATCCAGAACTGTGGAAGGACATTTCTGTGTGTTTTTATTCACACTCACCTCTCCCCTGACTTGAACAGAGCCATCTTGCTCTATAAAGGGCAGCAGCTCAGCACCCTGTTGTCTCCCTCAAAGCAGACTCGTTGCAGAAATCCTTGAGTGCAATATTCTCCCCTATTTGGGGCTTGCCTAGAAACTGGTACCCATTTCGCTTAACTCTGAGCTTGAACCGAAGAGCAGCTGGAGAGGCTCGTTACAGCTGCAGGGAGACTAGATATATGTGGGACCAGTGCCAGGGACTAAGGGTGGAGACACACCCAAGACCATGTAAAACCCTGATATAACTGGGGTGTGGATTTGGAGAATAGTAAGGCATTCAAAAACAATCATAAATTTCCCAGAATCAGAAAGCCACTCATGCTCCAGGTATGTAGTTGACTCAGAAATGACCTGAGTTTCCCTTAGTTTCCTGTTGAGCTGAACCCAGGATCAGGCACATGGCATGTCAGCTAGTGAAGGACAATCAGGATGTGGTACAAATCTGCAAACAGTGGGTGTGCTGTGCTTTTCCAAGTACCCTGTCATGAAGGAGAGTACACAGAAGGAGAGATAGAGAATGCATAGAATAAAGAAAGGTGAAACAAGAAAGCTAAAAAAAAAAAAAAAAGAGAGAGAGAGAGAGAGAAAGAGAAAAACATGAGCCATAAAACAGTTTTTATTACTGTTTAGTTGCTATGTCAGACCCCTCTATTGCAACCCAATGGACGATAGCCCCACAGGTTTTTCTGTCCATGGGATTCTGCAGACAAGAATACTGGAGTGGGCTGCCATTTCCTTTTCCAGTGGATCTTCCTGGACCTGAGATCCAACCCACATCTACTGCATTGGTAGGCAAATTCTTTACCACTGCACTACCTGGGAAGCTTGATCCATGAAAGGAACAAAAGAAATCGGCACTGACTCTTCCTGAACAATCACAGAAGCCACACTTAGTGAACAGTGAGTGTCTCAACTGTCCTGGGAGGAGCTCCAGGTGGGCAAGAGGACACTGAGCTCAGCTCCCCTAGGAGGACATCAGGGTCACATCTCCTAATAACACACGACACCAACAGGAAGCCCCCTCCACACCAAGACTGTAAAGAACCATCCCCACGGAGCTGGGTGGGAAGGGAAGAGAAGCTGGCAGATCAGGATTGAGCCCCTGGGAGGGCCCCAAACAAGAAGGGGAGGACAGGGGCTCAGAGGTCCTCCCTGGAGAGACCCATGCACACCGTGCACTGGGCACAGCAGCCCTGGTGCGACCCTGAGTGGTCTCGGCCCCACTGCTGCTGTGAACCCAGGGGGACTCACAGGAGGCCTGGAAACCTGACTCCTCTCCTGAGACACGTACCCACTCCTGCTCCTAGAACAGGCTGAGGGGGCGACCAGACACTGCCCAGGACTCGGGAGGTTTTACTGGGCAGCCTGTGTGCCCCCCGGCACACAAATGACCCCTTAGCACCACTGGATCCAGTTCACTCCCCATGCGGCAAGGGCTGCCCATGCTGGGCAGAGTGGGCTGTGGTGGGTAAAGATCCTGCTCAGACCAGCAGGATGTCTGGATGGGGCAGGGTGGCCATCAGAGAGGGGCCTGAGGAGCAATGTTCTGGAAATACCCTTCTCCATTTCCCTCACAGTAAAGTCCTTTAAAAGCCTATGTGAAAAGGACCCCCTGCCCCACCAGCTCTCTGATTTGCCTTTAGCTCCTGTCTCCCCACCCCACTGAACTCCACCCACATCAGCAGACTTGCTGGCCCTTAAATGTTCCATGAACACTCTTCCTTCCTGGAGTAAGCATTTCCTGTTCCAGAAAAATGCAGGGAGCCACTGTCTCTGTATTTTAAGGCTGTTTTGTACAAAGGAAAAGCTGTGTGGAATGAAGTGTAGTTGATGCCTCTGTCTAACAGAAGTACAGAAATGAGAGAGATTGTGCAGAATTATCTCAACAGACATTTAACCATTTCTAACAGTTAAATTCTCCTGATTTCATTCACAGTGTCATTCTCCATGAGACTAACGACTCAAGACATTTCTCATTTCACTTATTGACTTTTGTTGATACGACAATGTCTTTCTAAAGAATGTCAATAAAGTTTTGCTAAATGACCACTGAACTCAAAATATGTAAGGATTCATCAAAATGCTGAGCATGGGCAGACAAATAAGAAATTACATAAATGACTAAGGTGTGCTGCTTGCTATACAGGAAGCAAAATATAATACTGGTTTTTTTAATTTTTATTTTTATTTATTTATTTTTCTTCCATTTATTTTTATTTGTTGGAGGCTAATTACTTTACAACATTGCAGTGGTTTTTGTCATACATTGAAATGAATTAGCCATGGATTTACATGTATTCCCCATCCTGGTCCCCCCTCCCACCTCCCTCTCCACCCCATCCCTCTGGGTCTTCCCAGTGCACCAGGCCTGAGCACTTGTCTCATGCATCCAACCTGGGCTGGTGATCTGTTTCACCCTAGATATACATGTTTCGATGCTGTTCTCTTGAAACATCCCGCCCTCGCCTTCTCCCACAGAGTCCACAAGTCTGTTCTATACATCTGAGTCTCTTTTTCTTTTTTTGCATATAAGGTTATCGTTACCATCTTTCTAAATTCCATATATATGTGTTAGTATACTGTAATGGTCTTTATCTTTCTGGCTTACTTCGCTCTGTATAATGGGTTCCAGTTTCACCCATCTCATTAGAACTGATTCAAATGAATTCTTTTTGATGGCTGAGTAATATTCCATGGTGTACATGTACCACAGCTTCCTCATCCATTCGTCTGCTGATGGGTATCTAGGTTGCTTCCATGACCTGGCTATTATAAACAGTGCTGCGATGAACATTGGGGTGCACGTGTCTCTTTTGGATCTTGTTTCCTCAGTGTGTATGCCTAGAAGTGGTATTGCTGGGTCATATGGCAGATCTATAATACTGGTTTTTTTAAATCATATTTTTAGCTTACCAAGATACTTAGGCTATGTTTCAAAAGAAGTATATAACCTGTAGAATGAAGTTTATTTGTTTTTGTAAATAACCAAATACACCTATGTGTCTAGGAAAATTACAAGTTAAATGCACCAAAGGTAAGTATTATCAAGTGGGCAAACACTACTGATCTTTATTTCCTATCCTGCCCCTTCTTTATCTAAATATTCTGTCATGTATATGTATTATTTCAATGACAGGAAAGAAAGAGTATTCTTACTTTGAAGTCTATGCTATTTCATAAACTGTTCATTTTTAAAAAGAAAGACATGGTTTCAGAAGTTCAGACCCTTTATTTAAACTTCTTCATCAAGCACAAAATTATTCACCACCCCAGAAGTAAGAAGTTATCAAAGAACCACAGTAAGTTGATCAATATTCTTCAGAGAATGGATACTCAGGATGACCGACACCACTGGAAGACAAAGAGATGAACTCATTTATGAAATCTGGCTTCATTATAACATAGTTATGATTAATATAAACATTTTCCCCTGATGTAAAAAGAATTAAAAATTAAACATGTTCACTGGTCCCTGAAAGAATAGTGGGCTGCAGGCACTGTGCCCTTTGTGTTTCCTGGCTCCCTGGGCTCTGAGAGGAAGTACACCAGGCACAGGGATTAGGGGCACAAAGTAGTGAATTTATTCATCACAATGTCAACTGTGGGAATTTTACTGATGGGCTGTCCTAGCCGCCAATCACATTTCTGTTGATCAAGGATGGAGCCCTGGAGGAATCCTCTGGGCTGAGGTCTACAGGAAGCAACTGGCTCACTCCTACGCTTGAAATCAGGACTGTCTTTCTATACTTAAGCTTTTAAAAAGCTTAGTTCTCCTGCTCACCTCTCTGCTACAAAACAAACAAGCAAACAAAAATGACTGTGTTTGTAAAACAGTCACTTACATAAGAAATTCATAGTATCTTATATTTCTGTTGAGGCCATCGATTGCTTTCATGTCTTCTGGAGTCAGTTCAAAGTCAAACACCTGGAAGGAAGGAAGAATCACATTAACCTCTCCCTGCAAGGAGCCAGCCTTCCCCTGGGAACTGGAGGACTTTCCAGCTGGATGGAGACAAGAATAGGGGACAGGGAAGCCGTGTCTGTCCTCAGCTTCCAGGAGCACAACCTGGGACCCTTGCTGAGTTCTCACCTCTCCTTCCCACACCTTCTCCTTCTCTGTCCACCTCACTAACATTACTGTGCCATCAGTTCCTTATCTTTCTAAGTGAATCACTTGTGACAGGAAACAAACTAAACTCTTCTTTTTCCAAACAAACTGCTGTGGACACTCCTGACTTGATACCTGAAACTGAGCTGACATTAGACTGATTTCCTCTCCCCAACACACCCTAAAGGTGACAGCATTCAGCTGAAGCAGTGTGGGTGGAGGCTCCCTCTTGAAAGCCTATTCAGGAATCTGATTTCAAACTCCTTACCTATGAATAAATCTAACAAAACCTATATGTCTGTGCCTTAGTGGAGAAGATCTCTGTGTTGGGAAAATCCCCTGGAGAAGGAAATGCTAACTGACTTCAGCTTTGTTCCCTGGAGAATAGCATGGACAGAGGAGCCTGATGGACTACAGTCCATGGGGTCACAAGGAGTCACACACAACTGAAGCAACTAACACTTTAGTGGAAAAAGTTATGAAAAGTGTTTAAAACATTGAAGAACAGCAAATTACTAAAAGTTAACATCACAGTCATGAAAAGAAAAGTTCAGCTTTCTAAAGAAATGCATTTCTCCAGTGATCTAATATTTCAGTGCAGCATGATCCAAGAAGTTAAACAAATATTCTTTTGTAGAAACCAGTAAAGTGATACTAAATTTTAAATAAAAGAACAGTCGAGAGCAGTCAAAACATCTTTAAAGATGAATTCTAAGAACACTTATTTTCCATTTTAAGAACACAGTACAGAGAACTGAATAGTTAAATAGGGAAGGGCCAGGGCAGTCCTAATATGGAGGAGGAATAGGATGGGGAGACCCCCACAAATTCATCAAAAGATCATTTGAATGCTGAGCAACTTCCACCAAACAACTTCTGAATGCTAGCAGAGGACACCAGGCACCCTGAAAGCCAGCCCATTCTCTTCAAAGGGAGGTAGGATGAAATATAGAAGACAAAAAAGAGAGACAAAAGAGTTAGTGATGGAGACCCAACCCAGGGAGGGAGTCGTGAAGGAGGAGAAGTTTCCAAACATCAGGAAACCCTCTCACCAGCAGGTCTGTGGGGGGTGGGGGAGGGGTGGAATCTCAGAAGGCAACATAACCAGGAGGAAAAAAATAAACCACAGAATACGTGCCTTAACCACAGTTCCGAGCAAGGAATAGCCCAGACACTCATGTCTGCCACCAGCAAGTGGGGGCTGAACAGGTAGGCGGGGGGTACATGCTTAGGGTAAGGACCAGGCCTGAATGCCCTGAGGACAATCTGAGAGAGCTAACCTGAGATAGCAACCCAAACTTTGGGTTAGCCTGAGAGAAAAAAAAGAGAGAGAGAGAGAGAGAACTTTCCTGTAAGAAGCTCTAACCTAAGATACAGCCTGGCCTACTCACAGAACAAAGGACTGAGTGAATACCAAAGGAGAGCTAGCTGGCTGCAGACAGGCCCACCCCCAGAGGAAGATTGGCTGGCAGGCAACAGCCAGAGCCAGAAGGTGAGGGGCAATCTCAGCCCCAGAGACGGCATCCTCCACCAAACAGAGCAGGCTCCCAGTTGCTAACCAAGTCTTCCTGGGCGCTTGGAAGGTTGACATCTGCCAGGAGGGTCACAGCCTGAGATCATCTCCCCAGAAGAGACACAAGGCACAGATGAGAAGGTGCTCTCCTTGAGTATCCCGGAAACCAAACAGCTGGGACCCAGGGAGGTGATTAGGATGCACAGCCCCCCTGGGACAGTGTGCTCACCAAGCACCTAGTCACCTGAGCTCCTTGGACCTGGGAAGGGCATAAACTGCAGGTCCAACCAAGTCTGTGCCTTTGTGGAGTACACAAGAACCTGAACCTGAGCAGCTTAGACCCAGGAAGTGCATGCCACCCAGGACCCGCTTTGGACAGTTCTCCTGCAGAGCAACCTGGAGCCTGAGGAGTGTAGACTGGGAAAGCACACACTGCCATGAGCTGGTGCAAACCCATTGTGGCCCAGACACTGCAAGCACTCCCCACACATGCCAGTGATATTTGTTTGCAGTGTTCCTCCCTCCCCACAGCACAACTGAGCAAGTGAACCTAAATAAGTGACCACCTTCACCCCCTTGTGTCAGGCAGAAATTAGACACTGAAGAGACTTGCAAACAGAGGAAGCCAAACAAACAAAGAAGAGGGAACTGCTCTGGAAGTGAAAGGTGCAACAGACTAAAACCCTGTAGTTAGCATTGACTAACCATTGGAAGGGGCCTATAGACCTTGAGAAGAAGTATAAACTGGAAGAAGGAATGATCTGAAACTGAACTGACCCCACACTGCCCTCAACAGCTCCAAAGAAATTCCTAGATACATTTTTACTATTATCATTCTTTTAGTTTTTTAAAATATTTTTATTTTTAAGTTATTACTCCTTTAATTTTCATTTTTATAACCTACTATTACCTTGCAAAAAAAAAAAAACTATTTTTAATGCAAATTTCACATGTATATTTTTTACAGTTTTTGTGATTGCTTTTGTTTTGTATTTTTACTATTGTATTTTTCAGAGTCTAACCCCTACTCTAGAGTTTTAATCTTTGCTTTTTGGTATTTGCTGTCAATTTTGTATCTTTAAGAATCTAATCTTCAGTATCCATTTTCACTTAGGGGTGTGACTACTGGCTTCATTGCTCTCTTCCCTTTTGACTCTTCCTTTTCTCCCCCAGGTGACCTCTATCTCCTCTCCCCCGCCTTTGCTTCTCTGCTGAACTCTGTGCATCTCTCTGGGTGCTCCAGGCTGTGGAGAACACTTAGGGAACTGATTACTGGCTAAATTGTTTTCTCCCCTTTAGACTGCCCCTCTTCTCCTTGTCACCTCTATCTCCCTTCTCCCTCTTCTCTGTGTAACTCCGTGAACCTCTCTGGGTGTTCTAGACTGTGAAGAACACATAGGGAATTGATTACTGGCCAGATTGTTCTCTCCCCCTTTGATTTTCCCTCTTCTCCTCTTGGTCACCTCTATCTCCCTCCTCTCTCTTCTAATCTCCATGTAACTCTGAGAACCTCTCTGGGTGTCCCTCAGTGTGGACAATTTTTTCACCATTAACCTAGATGTTTTATCATCTATGCTGTATGGATGGAGAAGTCTTGAGGCTACTGTAAGAATAAGACTGAAAGCCAGAGGCAGGAGGCTTAAATCCAAAACTTGAGAACACTAGAGAACTCCTGACTGCAGGGAATATTAATCAATAAGAGCTCATCCAAAAGCCTCCATACCTACACTGAAACCTAGCTCCACCAAGGAGCCAACAATTTCCAGAGAAAGACATACAATGCTAATTCTCAAGCAATGCAGGAACATAGCCCTGAGCATTAAAATACAGGCTGCCCAAACTCACAACAAACACATAGACATCTCAAAACTCACTACTGGACACTTCATTGCACTCCAGAGAGAAGAGATCCAGCTCCACCCACCAAAACACTGGCAAAAGCTTCTCTTCCTCCCCCTTTCAAGGAAACATTGACAAGACACTAGTCCAACCCCACACACAGGGAGCAACCTCCACAATAAAGAGAAACAATAAACTTCCAGAATACAGAAAGGTCACCCCAAACAGATCAATCTAAACAAAGTGAAAAGGCATAGAAATATTCAGCAGGTAAGGGACATGATAAATGTCCACCATACCAAACAAAAGATGAAGAGATAGGGAGTCTACCTGAAAAAGAATTCAGAATAGTGATAGTAAAGATGATCCAAAATCTTGAAAACAAAATAAAGTTGCAGATAAATAGACTAGAGACAAGGATTGAGAAGATGCAAGAAATGCTTAACAAGGAGCTAGGCAAAATTAAAAAGAAGAGTCAATCAATAATGAATAATGCAATAACTAAGATCAAAACCACTCTGGAGGGAACCAACCAGCCTCAATCTGAGGCAGAAGATAGCATAAGTGAGGTGGAAGATAGAATGGTGGAAATAAATGAAGCAGAGAGGAAAAAAAGAATTAAAAGAAATGAGGACAATCTCAGTGACCTCTGGGACAATGTTAAATGCCCCAACATTCGAATCATAGGAGTCCCAGAAGAAGAAGACAAAAACAAAGGCCATAAGAAAATACTCGAGGAGATTATAGCTGAAAACTTCCCTAAAATGGGGAAGGAAATAGTCACATAAGTCCAAGAAACCCAGAGAGTCTCAAACAGGATAAACCCAAGCTGAAACACTCCAAGACACATATTAATCAAATTAACAAAAATCAAACACAAAGAGCAAATATTAAAAGTAGCAAGGGAAAAGCAACAAATGGGGATTCCCATAAGGATAAAAGCTGATCTGCCAATAGAACCTCTTCAGGCCAGAAGGGAATGGCAGGACATATTTAAAGTGATGAAAGAGAAGAACCAACAACCCAGATTAACTATATCCAGCAAAGATCTCATTCAAATATGAAGGAGAAATTGAAAACTTTACAGACAAGCAAAAGCTGAGAGAATTCAGCACCACCAAACCAGCACTTCAACAAATGCTAAAGGATCTTCTCTAGACAGGAAACACAGAAATGGTGTATAAACTCAACCCAAAACAATAAAATAAATGGCAACAGGATCATACTTATCAATAATTACCTTAAAAGTAAACGGATTGATGCCCCAACCAAAAGACAAAGACTGGCTGAATGGATACAAAACCAAGACCTCTAGATATGCTGTCTATAAGAGACCCACCACAAAACAAGGGACACATACAGACTGAAAGTGAAGGGCTGGAAAAAGACATTTCATGCAAATGGATACCAAAAGAAAGCAGGAATAGCAATACTCATATCAGATAAAATAGACTTTGAAATAAAGGCCGTGAAAAGAGACAAAGAAGGACACTACATAATGATCAAAGGATCAATCCAAGAAGAAGGTATAGCAATTACAAATATATATGCACCCAACATAGGAGCACCACAATATGTAAGGCAAATGCTAAGAAATATGAAAGGGGAAATTAACAGTAACACAATAATAGTGGGAGACTTTAATATCCCCACTCACAGCTATGGATAGATCAACTAAACAGAAAATTAACAAGGAAACACAAACTTTAAATGATGCAATGGACCAGTTAGACCTAATTGATATTTGTAGGATATTTCATCCCAAAACAATGAATTTCACCTTTTTCTCAAGTGCACACGGAACGTTCTTCAGGATAGACCACATCCTGGGCCATAAATCTAGCCTTGGTAAATTTAAGAAAAATTAAATCATTTCAAGCATCTTTTCTGATCAAAATGCAGAAAGATTAGACATCAACTACAGGATAAAAAAACTATTAAAAATACAAACATATAGAGGCTGAACAGCACATTTCTGAATAACCTAAAAATCACAGAAGAAATCACAATATGCATAGAAATGAGAAAATGAAAATGCAACCACCCAAAACCTATTGGATTCAGTAAAAGCACTGCAAAGGGAAAGGTTCATAGCAATACAAGCTTACCTCAAGAACCAAGAGAAGAATCAAATGAATAGCGTAACTTTACACCTAAAGCAACTAGAAGAAGAAATGAAGCACCCCAGGGTTAGTAGAAGGAAAGAAATAATAGAAATTAGGGCAGAAATTAATGACAAAGAAGCAAAGGAGACTATAGCAAAAATCAACAAAACTGAAAACTGGTTCTTTGGGAAGATAAATAAAACAGACCATCCATTAGCCAGACTCATCAAGAAAAAAAAAGGGAGAAGAATCAAATCAACAACTTAGAAGTGAAAATGAAGAAATCACAATAGACAAAACAGATATACACAGGATCATAAGAGACTACTATCAGCAACCATATGCCAATAAAATGGACAACTTGGAAGAAATGGACAAGTTCTTAGAGAAGTAAAACTTCCAAAAACTGAACCAGGAAGAAATAGAAAATCTTAACAGACTCATCACATGCATGGAAATTGAAACTATAATCAAAAATCTTCTAACAAACAAAAGCCAAGGGCAAGATGGCTTCACAGCTGAATCCTACCAAAAATTTAGAGAAGAGCTAACACCTATCCTACTCAAAATTACTAGAGCTAACCAATTCATTAGTTCTAGTCAAGGCTATGGTTTTTCCAATAGTAATGTATGGATGTGAGAGTTGGACTATAAAGAAAGCTGAACACTGAAGAATTGATTCTCTTGAAAATATGGTGTTGGAGAAGACTCCTGAGAGTCCCGTGGGCTGCAAGGAGATACAACCAGTCCATCCTAAAGGAAATCAGCCCTGAATATTCATTGGAAGGGCTGATGCTGAAGCTGAAACGTCAGTACTTTGGCCACCCAATGAGAGGAGCTTACTCATTGAAAAAGACCTTGCTGCTGGGAAAGATTGAAGGCAGGAGGAGAAGGGGGCGACAGAGGATGAGATGGTTGGATGGCATCACTGACTCAGTGGACATGAGTTTGAGTAAACTCTGGGAGTTGGTGATGGACAGCGATGCCTGTCGTGCTGCCTCCTGGGGGTTGCAAAGAGTCGGACACGACTGAGCGACTGAATTGAACTGAACTGAACTGAACTGAACTGAATCAATGGATATAGTAAAGTTGCAGGATATAAAATTAACACACAGAAATCTCTTGCATTCCTATACACTAACAATGAGAAAGCAGAAAGAGTAATTGAGGAAACAATTCCATTCACCATTGCAAAGAAAAGAACAAAATACTTAGGAGTAAATCTACCTAAAGAATCAAAAGGCCTATATATAGAAAACTATAAAACACTCCTGAAAGAAATCAAAGATGACACAAATAGATGGAGAAATATACCATGTTCATGGATAAGAAGAATTAATATAGTAAAAATGACTCTACTATCCAAAGCAATCTATAGATTCAATGCAATCCCTATCAAGCTACCAACAGTATTTTTCACAGAACTGGAACAAATAATTTCACAATTTGTATGGAAATTAAAAAAAAACCTCTTCCCTGATGGCTCAGACAGTAAAGTGTCTGCTTACAATGCCAGATACCCGGGTTCAGTCCCTGGGTTGGGAAGATCCCCTGGAGAAGGAAATGGCAACTCACTCCAGTACTCTTGCCTGGAAAATCCCATGGACGGAGGAGCCTGGAAGGCTACAGTCCTTGAGGTCACAGAGTCAGACCTGACTGAGTGATTTCACTTTCACAAAAAAACCTCGAATGGCCAAAGCAATCTTGATAAAGAAGAATGGAACTGAAGGAATCAACCTGCCTGACCTCAGACCTTGGTCATACACAATGACCAAGTGGTCTCTATCCCAGGAATGCAAGGATTCTTTAATATCCACAAAACAATCAATGTAATACACCACATTAACAAATTGAAAGATAAAAACCATATGATTATCTCAATAGATGCAGAAAAAGCCTTTGACAAAATTCAACCAAACAGAATCCATCAACATATTAAAAAGATCATACATCATGACCAAGTGGGCTTTATCCCAGGAATGCAAGGATTCTTTAATATCCACAAAACAATCAATGTAATAAACCACATTAACAAATTGAAAGATAAAAACCATATGATTATCTCAATAGATGCAGAAAAAGCCTTTGACAAAATTCAACATCCATTTATGATTAAAACTCTCCAGAAAGCAGG